TACAGATAATTACCAGAATGTTTAGAATTTTACCACTTATCAAGGGAAATTCGTACTTCTACAAAATCTGTATTAAAAATGATTATCATTTTTTTTTTCAATTCAACTTTGATAATTTCCAGTACACATTAAGTACAGAAGAGAGCGTTCGTTAACACTATAGATTTATTGGGGCAATAAAAAAAGTTTTATCAATTTAAGCAATGATATCAGCATAATTTCTAATGAATGAGACTTTTTTTGGTTAGACACTATAAAAAGTTATTTAATAACTATGAAACTTTATATAAAGTTGAATTTATTTTCAAGTATTAGTTATATATGAGTAAAATTCAGATAGGCCAAATATTAAGGTTTGAAAGTGCTTGTTTCATAATTAATTGAAGAGTGAAGTAACTGAATAGTTTGATTCAAAAGAAAAAAAATAATTATGCGATAAAAAGTTTTATAAAAATCCCTCCATCATTTACTAAAGTAATTAATCCAAACTATAAAAATGTTTTATTCACAAAGTTGACTTTCTTAGATTAGAGTGTCGTTTGTAGACGTACTCAAGCGAAAATGAATCAGCCACATAGGGTTATAAATATAACTAAGTCTCTGATTTTACAGGATAATAGCTCTATCAGATTGGTAAGAAAAGATTCCCGAACATTTTTTAAACTTCTATTGACTAAAGATGGCCACAGACAAAGAATGTAAAAGACAATTTTCTTACCCATTTTATAATCACCATAACTCATTATAAAATAGCCAATCTCATAGAAAACAGCCGTGAATTTTAAGGTAATAGCGGCAAAATATCTAAAGTATTGTCATGTAGAGTGTCACATCCGTTTAGCAATATCGTATTTTTACTACTATTTTTATACTTTTTGGTTGAGCCTAAATTGAAAAGGAAATATAGATATGTTCACTATGAGAAAAAGCTCATAGAGGCTATAAGAATATCAATTAATTATTATATTGTGTTGAGGCTAGTTGCGTCAATGCACTTAAGCACTTTTACTCTGTATTAACTACGAGGTTTCTTCATAACCTGTCTCTATACCTTGACTGGATTATTGTTCATCACTTCATCAGACAAAGCAATAATTGAACTCAAATCTGAGGAGCCTGTAACCATTCTGAGATTCGATAACGCAGTGCTGGTAAGTCTGTCAGTTTTTGTAAATAATTTCAGGGCTCTATCCTTTATGTATTTTTTGATCGATTCAATCTTGAGGACCCTGAGAAGACTTTTCAAGGTACCATGGTACATTAGAACGATCGTGGTAATTATAAAATTTCCTTAAAATCGGAAAATATAGAATTAGATTATTAGCGGCTAATAAAATAGGCTGCGATGCTTTCTGTCATTTTTCCTCCAAAACGTACTAAAATTGGAATAATTTGCTCCTTAAAGGCGCAACAACAATTTTACTCATGCCGTGTCCGAGACGTTCTACATAACATGGTCCTTACAAATCAAAAATCGGAATTACACTAAATGTAAATCTAAATTGAAAAAGTTACCCCAGACTGTCCTGATAAAAATACATTAAAATATTTATGTGCCAAAGTGCAAGCTAACAGCACTACAAACAAGATATAAAAAGAGAATTAGCTAAAGTATCTTCATCCGAGCACTAATAGAAGATTTCAAGAATGGCTAGGTCTATGCCTCGGTGCCACTGGTCGACTTCGACGACCAAATACAGTACGCCACATTCAAAGGAGACTACAACAATAGCACTAAAAGAACTAGGAACAAAAATGTAATAAAAGAGTGCCAAATAACAACACGAAAAAAAGAAAGAATATATAGACACCAAAAATATTAACAGAAAACCTCTCTATT